GTTTTCTGTTATTCAAGTCATGTTTCACACTTTGTTTCCGTCTGCATTTGGGTCCACCCTTCACTCTACACACAGTCAGCCCTGCTGATTGTGACACCCATAGTCTGTGCTTTGTCCTTCCTCCCCATGCTCTCCTTTGCTCTGTTCCTCACGAACACACTGGTTGTTCCATATACTCTTAACGATAACGTCAGGTGTGTCAGCTCTATATGTTTCCTGTAACAAATTCTGTCATGCGGGTGTCCTTACAGCTTCTGGTTGGAAAGCTCAACACTGAAATAAGCACAGCGAAGACATCGCAGTTCTTTGCTGTCTAATCAACACTTGTTGGTTCTCAGAAACACGTCATTGATACGGATCGCAGCTTTTCTGGGTGTAATGATTTGCTGAAGAGAATGAGAAGTAGAAGTCTAACACAATGTTCAAGGTTTCCATTAATAGTAATAAAACATAATAAAACGAGGGATTAACAAATTTCCCAGAGGAACCTACCCGAGGGATTAATAAAGTTTTATCTTATCTAATACAAAAAGCAAAAACTGAGGTAGAAAATTGAAGCAGAGTGAATATACACACAGAAGAAAGACAGACAGCACACAAGAGGAGAGGGATGTTGCTTTTTCAATTGTTTACCTGAAAATCAAAGGGTATAAAGGAGAACGAGATTAAAGACAAAGGAGAGGTGAGGAAGACGATAGGAAACAACAGAGAGGAAGACACTGAACAGAAGTTATGAGAGAGGAGACGAGAGAGAGAAGGAGAAAGGGCTGAGGGAGTGAAATTAAAGAAATGTCACAATGGAGGATGCAGAGACCCAACACAAAGACAAAAATATAGAAAAAAGATACTTTCATGTAGAAATATGAACAGAAGAAGGTCTAGAAATGATCATAAACAACTTTACAGTCTTCAGTCAAATTTAAGGGTTTATTGTTTATTTATAATTTGCTTAGAATTAGCTGAGAAGCAGCTGGGAGTCTCACAGGAGTCTCAAAAGAAGATCAATGATTTCCAGGATTAGTGATGTCTCTCCAACAAAATCTTTTCTAAAGAAAAGACACTTTTTCAGTGATACTGGACGACTGTTTCGTGAGTGAAGCAGCTGCTGAACTACAAACAGCAGAGCTAGCTGTGGAAATACTAACGCCAGCTGAAATGACTCAAACACTAAAGTTTTTTGGACACAGGTTTGGTTCAAATATTCAGAGATTCGACTTTTACAAGGACGTAACTCCTGAAAATGGCAGCCAATACAAAACTGCCTAAAACAACATTCTTTTTAATGACCAGCAGGGGGCGATAGCATTGGTTAAAAAAGTGAAACTGTAGAAACAATACAGAAAAAGAACCAGGAAAATGAGGGTGTCATTGCAGTCAAATAAGGAGATGCAGCAGTGTATGTTTTATATCTTAACATTACTAGCCTATGATTGTGGACCATAAATCATAGGCTTTGTACCGTTCGAAAGGTACAAAAAATAGGGCGGAGACTATTTAAATCAAGTGTG